CTGCAGTGAGAGCGACTCATTGGAAGGCACCTGCCAAAGAAAGCCAGCGTTGAAACGTCAGCACTTTGGATCCGGGCTTCCACATGGCCTTTGGGATCTCCTCCTGCCGAACCTGCAGTGCGCTGACGTCATCACCCGCCTCAGGCCGCGGAGCATCGCAGGCTCCGGCATTCTCGGGCTCGCGGGCTTGCAGGCTCACTTAGGCTCTGGCACAGTGCCTTGACAGGTCATCAGCCTGCAGCTCTAATGTCACGTGCTTACGGTTGGGGCATGCGGCATGGGAGTTGGGGCCCCTCACCTGTGCTTGGCTAGCCAACACGCTGGCAGCCAGGAGGCATGAGGTCCATGCCTGCAGATGCACACAGCTTGTGAGCATCTCATGTTAAAGAGCATGTGCTCCCGAAGCTGCACAGCGGGCCTTCACTGAAAGAAGGGACCACCGCGACATTATGAACGGTTCGTTTTGAGCTGTGTAGTACAGCTGCAGCAAGCATTTAAAGGCACCACTTCAGCCATAGATCGCCTCACCTACATTGCCCCGACAGACGACATATCACTACATAAAGCCATTACCACGTCATCAGCGGCCGCTTGCATGTGACTACCTATCCGGCGAGGCTTGTCGTGCACATGGTGCGAGCCACTCCTGCCCAAGCAAAAGGCTCGAACTTTTTCTTGCTAAAACTTCTCGCCTCTTATCGAAGATTTCCTCGAGAGGCTGGTGGCTTTCAGATTCACATCTTCACACCTTCACACCTTCAGCATCAGCTGCCACATTCGCTTCACCGCTGCCTCGTAGAGCCTCGGCTGAAGCCGGGAGGAAGTCTCGGCGTCTCTGCAGCTCCCGTCTCCCAGTGTTTCTCTCAAAGCGGCATCGTCTCTGACTCGGCCAGCTCTTTAATGGCCTGACTTCGTCTTAGGGCTGGCGTATGCGATAGCCGTGCAAAGTGACAGAGATCACAGCCCAAAGCCAAAGCTTTGCAATAGCAAAGTGCTCTTGCCATCAACTGGTGATGCTGGCCTCCATGTGCGAATCCGGAACGTGACATTCACCCTGGTTGAGGTAGTGGGTATTCCTCGCAACAGTGACAAGAGTCTAAAGAAGCCCGTACATTCTTCCGGCTGTATCACGTCCTGTTGACTGCCAGCGACTTCATGTCCCAGATCGCATCTGCAAGCTGTGGAAAATGGTTGGCAGCGACCTCGGAGGCGCCATTGCATGCCGCCATTCAAGAACAGAGCTTGGAGAGCCCCGGCCTTCAAGGACACTTGTCTGCCCAGGATGATCGGAACGCACTGCGACATGTAGTTCAGCGTGTTCTGCCAAGCCGCTTGACGTGCCTCGCTCGAACAACTCTTACGGCAAGTTCAAGCACTTGAAAGATAACACCAACGAGATACGGTGATACGGCTCGTTGCAGGAACCGGTAAACCTGCCTTCGTGTCGATCATGCTCACCGTTGAGTTTGGTTGGCACTCGCTGAACCTGCGGAAGCTAGACCCATGTCTGGCAAGCGGCTACTATCCCTCCGCCTCCATGATTTCAGTGTAAGAATACAGAAGGTTATCGTGCAGAAGTCTGTCTGTCCCAGTTGCACGCTCGAACGGGTTGCGCTGATCATCACTCATCCCTTGGGTGCAGAGCACTAAACTCTCGTACGGAGCCTCCGGAACGGCTCGTTCACGCAGCCGCGGTCCACCAACAACTTCTTCAAGTTTTCCACGGAGAGATCCTTTGTTGAAGCTGTCTGAAGGTGCCCCCCCGCCAAGCAGCAAAGCAGCCAGCTGCAGCCCAAGGTCCCCCATGCAAGCCGGCGCCACGTGCTCGGAGCCCACCAAACGCTCCGAGTAGCAAGACATGATTCGTGGCACGGGCTCGCGGAAGCTGGTGAGGCAGCCGACCTCCGGTCGAGCAGCTGCAACAAAGAAGTGCTGCTATATCACGCAGGGCTCAAACCCCCCCTCTGTGGATCGGGTGGACTATATCCGCTCAAAACAGCACTGCACGCAAGGAGACAGCTGTTCTCATCGAGAACTGGGTGCCTGCTTGGCTCCCTTTGCTTTGAGGCTGTGCTGCGCATCTTCCCAGCAGAAGTGCCCAGCATAAACTGCCGCATCCCCCTCCAGACGAAAGTCGTTGCAGCCCACTCCACCATAGCAGGGGATGTGGGCCTTCAGGCCGAGGTTCCTCGCAGGAGCGGGGTGGAGCTCTATGTGAATCCAGTAGGTTTCATTGAAGCATATTGAAGCCTGACATCCACAGCCGGCCCTTAGCTTCACAGCCCCAAAAGTCCTGGAGGAGTTCGAGATCAGCTTGCGGATAGAAGTGCCAGCTGCCCGAGCTTGGTGCAAGAACACCAGCCTCAGGCAGATCATCGCTCGGTTATTCTTGAATCAATGCACAGTGCGGGCCTTGCCCTTTTCTAGCCCGAAGAGCATGCAGCTTCCGGAGGGTCAAGCTCACAGGCTGGGGCTACCGGCAGAGGAGTACATGACACAACTGCAAACCCACACCTCAAGTTCCACTGTTTTGCTTGACTCCCACTACGAGAACCAGGGCACCGCTTGGAACGTTGCCTCTGCAACATCATGGCTCAGAGATGCTGAGCGCAAGCAAGTCTCTTGCAGGAGCAGATGTCTAAATCTTGACGAAAGGCGGATTCTCGCTTGTGAGGTTGCGGTTTGGCGACGGGAGCGGTGCTTGAAGGAACTGCTCAACCAAGCCGGGCACGTAGTCCGACTCCGCCTGCTCCATCCTGACGCCCGCAGGATTTGCAAATGATCTCCGACGAGCAGCGCAACTGTGCCCAGGACTTTTTTCCCTCTCGCTTTGCTGTGGACTATCGTCCTGGTTTGCAGGTTGCAGGCACCGTCTGCTTCCGTCCATGAATCTGCCACCTGACCAGATGTCCAATTTTCGAAGCTAGGACCGGTTCTTCCCCCATCCGTCGTTTACTTTGTCCAATTCGCATGGCCTCTGCAGACAAGGCCGATGCCCCTGTGAGAAGGGCCAAAACTGTGCACTGAACCTTGGCATCGAAGGTGACGCAAACGAATCTCTTCACTGAATCGTCAGCCTACTCGTGCCTGGCCACTGCTCCTTGCTATCCAAGGAACCTTTGTCATGGCACTAAGCGCCGGTACACCTAAGGCGTAGCAGCTGTGTGGAGAGTCGGTTCGCTTGGGCCAAGTCTTGCGGCAGGCGCAAGGTTCAGCAGCCCTTCACCGATGCACTCACGAGCAGAGCTCTGCACGGGCCTAAGACTTCCAGCGCACCCTCGTAGCGTTCGATGGCCAACTCAGGCTCGTCGGCCTTGAGTAGTTGGTTGCCCTCCTGGTGGCACTGGGTGGGTCTGCTCTTTCACGGTTGCATATCTCAACTTCGACTCAAGATTCCCCGGTGAAAGCAACTGCTTTCAATCAGGCCTCCTTTAGAAGCTCAGCGTCAAGCTTGTCGTGGTCTGGTTCCGAGTATGCACCCTGCCATCTTGCCAAATCTGTTGTTGGGGCGGGAGGGCGGGTCTTTCGAAATTGTTACAAGCCCGACAAGCCCTTGATTCTAGTTCCGTCGCTGCCACGGTTCTTGAGAGACTCACAGAAAGCACAACAGCCGCGGGTGTGCACTGTCGTGACCGACCAACAGAATCGAACAAGAGCGATGAATACTCATAAAACTCTGTATTGGTGTAATAATTATGTAAACTTCAGTCTTCAATCCGAGCTGTTTTGGAGTAGATATCTCACTTCCTGCCAAACTGGGAATTGCAACATCCACTGCTCCGGAGACTGCAAACTACGAAATTGGGTGTTCGGCAAGTTCATGCTGCAAATTACTACTTGTCCTGCGATTGCTGGCAAAATGGACAAGAACGGTTCTGCGCGCCATACGGGTTGCTTTCGGTCGAAGAGCAGCTCGAGGTGCAGCTTCCTTTGTAAAGTTCCCGGTGGCGTCCGGACAGTCTTCGTCTGTTCGCGCACTTGGAGGCTTTCTCTTGCTTGTGCTGATCGCTCGCTTCCACAAACTACGCATGCCTTTCTGTTGAAAATCGATTTGAGCGCCTTTAGAGTCGTCCCGCATCTTCCAACCTGGCCTGGGCTTCGCGGGAGCCACAGAAGCCCTGGCTTCGGCTTCGCAGCTCTCAACGAGCACAGAAACTGTCAGCAACAGCACGCTCAGCACGCTGGCCTCCTCGTCCTGGCTCATGGATGCAGCCCCGGCGCACTTTGTGACCCATCTGAATGGATTCTTAACGGGCTTCTTCGCGAAGCAATCGACAACTTGAAACTGAGGCAGACTGGACCCACGTTGTGAGTCTGTAGGCTCGCCCATCGACAATAACTTGTTGTGCATCTACTTACGTCCACATCAAGCATGGCGGAGGTGTGGGGACGGATGGCTAGATTGGCAGGTTTGCCATTGCTCCCTCTGACTCAGCATTGACAAGTGCTTGCGGCATACATACCGAATCATAAGTCCCAAGAGCAAAAGGATATGCTCAGGGTCGACAACTCTTGCTGGCCAACGGTCGCAGCTCACAACTCTTGGCATGGGCACCGCAATCTGCAATTTCTCTTTGGCTTAGGCCACTTCATCCCCCATCTTCTGGCTGCCTCTCGAATTTCTGCAGCAGGCTGTACTGACTTGATGCTGGAAACATGGCTTCGAGGCCGCAAAGGGGACTCTTGCTGCATGCACGCGTCAGGCAGCCGCAACAGCAGCTGTAACTTTCTTCGCTCTTCTTCCACTACTCAAGAAAGACACAAGACTCAGAAACAGAAACAGAAGTGGTGATTGAGCGATGGGAAACGGTTCATCACAGCTCCAGTTGGCAGAGTCTCATCCAAGAGCTGGCCCGATGACCCGGTCACGATCGGTTCATGTTGGCACATCACGCGTATTTCTTAGTCATGCTCAGTCCTTGACATCCTGTGCTGACCTGTCCGGGCCTGCTCTTTTGATGGCAGCTCCGTGACTGAAAGAATTGCACAGCTCGTGGGCATCACTTCGCCCACAAAACATCCGGATCAAATTCGCGCGGTTCCTCCCCCAGCAATGCCTGGCCAACGGAATTCTGGGAGACTGCAAGCGTCAGACAGTCGTCAGAGTGTCAGTCGCCTGGCCAGGCAGGCCAGGACCAAGGTAGGGCGGAGGCCTTGGCCTCAGCGCAGCCAACGCCAATCGGCCAGGCCGCCAGGCCCAGGTGCTCTGCTCTGGATCGCGCTGGGAATTGCGGGAGCACTGCTTTAGATTTGTGACTGAGGCGGTCAAGAAGTTAAGAAGCTCACGATGTGCTCTGCACCGCCTTGTCACACGGGATTGAGCTTCGGAAACCCTCAGATTGCAAGGTCTTCTTATGGCGCCTGTAAGGCGGGTTCGGCTCCCGCGCCCGTGGTCACAGGCTCCAGCCATTCGCAACCTGGAGATCCCGAAATCTCACGTCTTGACGAGACGCTAAGACCGCAATGAAGTTTTCTCAACCGAGATGAAGTGCTGGCCTCTGGTCGGCATTTGTGGTACATCGCTCCGCCGCGGCAGAGGAGACGAGGTCTGCTGCACAGGCTGCGCATGCCTTAGAAACACTCCTCAACCACATAAAAACCGCTGGTTTTCTAGCAAGACTACACGCATGGCATGGCCTCGCCGGTGCTTGGAAGACGCCAGCACCGAACTCCTGGGAGCCCGAGCAGGACAGGCTGGCAACTGCTGACAGCGAGCACTGATGCCATCGTCACCTTGGGCTCCGAAAGCTGCGGCTGCATGCCTGTCGACAGATCTCCGTCTACATGTTGGCAAAAAACTGCAAAACAACATCACTTGCAATAGTCAGGCTGTGCGACGTGCTATCTGCAAGCAAAGACGGGGGGTTTTTCAATACGAGCACATTCGATCCACTAGCAGATGGCATTTGCTCCAGCCCCGCCTGCACCGCGTTCAGGCAGCGCTGTTGCTGGCGTGGGGGGCCCTGCTCCCCTCAGGGTCAGACGTGCGAATCAGTCCAAGCGCTCGAATGAGCTGTTCCGCCTTCCTTCTTTTCCCTCTAGCGTGGGATCATGTTGAGACAATGAGCCCTGCCAGGGGCGAGGCAAAGGTACCGACATCTGCCTGTCATACGGCAGGGCGACGTCGCGAGGCTGCGGGGCCTGAAGCTTTGCTTCGGGCTTTCCCCTCAAATTGTCGAACAAGATCTTTCCCAAAAAAACGACTGAAACCTTGTAGCCCATTGCCAGGAAAACGTCTCTGTCGATGTTTTCAGCCACAGGGAGCTCCGGTACTGCCTTGCGGGGCCCAAGAAACGCTTCCATACTGTCAGCCAGCAAGAACCTTTCACGGTCACAAAGAGCACTGCATGGACCGCCGATTGCGGCCTTGATTCGTTGATTGGCCTGGGGCAAGGGGCTTGAATTCGCCTCTCTCACACCTGGCAGGGTTCAAGTCTCGAACACTCTGCATCCTTCCTGCGGCCTACCGGATGCCGGATGTCGTCTTTCATCTCTCGTTCCCGCCTACTTCTCGCACGGGGCGATGTACTTGTGAAGCTACCGGCTCCTGGAAGAGGGTTGTGGCATGTCTGCGTTTCACTCAAACCCCACGTTAGCTCTGAGGCCACTGGCGATCCAGTGTCGTTCCCGCCAAGCATCTTCGGCCTGTGCGAACTGCAAACTCCCTCATGCCGGCCATCGTCCCAAGGCATGAACAATGAAGAGCAAAGCCTTTTCTGGCCAACTCGGTGCTGACCCAAGGCCTGTGTGGCCTGAGTGCAGGATGTCAAAAGCACACGCGCACAAGCGCCCGAGCCTCTGTAGATGGGCCATGGACGTAGGGCTGGTGGCCCTTGCCGGATTCCTGCAAAATCCGGAAATCCTCGCACAGTTGCTAGTGACTTGCACAACGAACCTCCGAGAAGAAACGAACCTCTTCGAGTCGAGTCACTGCACTGCGAGTCTTTTCTTTTTCCCTCTCCACGGCCCCAGTCCTCTGTCGACCCAGACTGGCAACATCTCCTGCAGCGCACAAAATCTGTGGGCAGAAGCCCAGCCTCGGCGCCTCAGCCGAAGCCTCGTCTCTCGGATGTGCCGCCGCTGACCTGTTGGCATGTGGAGCGAGGATTAAGGCGAGGATAAAGGCGGATTATTAGGGCCTACTTTTCAAGGTGTCTCACCGCAGATGTCTCGTCTAGTCTTGGCCTTGCCGGCTGACTGACCGGAAGGGCCTGGCATCTGGAAACGCAAAGGCAGCACAGGCCCTTGGGCCCATTGAAAGCACGCGGATTTTTGACTCTTTTGAAGGCCCAAAGCCGACAGCGCATACGGCCATAGGCGTCTCAGCGACACTGGTCAGACGGCTCGGCTATTAAAGCTCGTCCAATCTCAGTGTGGTCAGGGCATGCCTGGATTTCGTACATATGGTCAGGGCATGCCTGGATTTCGTATATACTGATGATCTGTGAGCTTCGGCGGCGGCCAAAATGCCTCCTTCCACTCGAGCTCGCCTGGAGTTGGCTGGGTATAGAAGAGGAGCTGGCTGGGCTGCACTAGTAGCGAGAAACGCTCAAATGTGCGCTTCGTCCAGTCAACGTCAGACCCTGCACGGATGAAAGTCGTCTGGTCCGGCTTTAGATGTCCAGGGATATTGTGGGCCATGCCATCTACGACGCAGAACTCGAAAAGATGTTCACCACTGCACTGCGACCAGATTGTACAGTTCACCTGAGCCAGCGGAGCACTGCTGGGTTGGTGACGGCAGGTGCTCGTAGCAGGCATGCAGGCGCTACAGTAGTCCACTAGTGCTCGAGTGCTACGGAGAGCTGAGGTGAATCTTCTTGCTGCGATGTCGCGGTGGCGGATAGCTGCTCTACAACTTTCCCGTCGCATCCACAGGCCTGGGCACGCTTCTCCGTCATGCGGGCAAGCTTGTCGATGTTGACGTTGGGGTCTTGCGTTCCACCATAGCTCAGGATGGAGACTGGCCTGGCGGCACACAAGCACAAGAAATTCATGCTTGGTAAACAGGTTTCACAGGCTCAAAAGTAGTGTAATGCGAGTAAAATCTGGTACATCACTGTCGTGGCTAGCTTGCCTCCGTGGCTGCTCTGCCTCCGGAGGTGTTAACAGTTTCTGGATGTTTGGCCACTTGTAGCATACTCATAGGGCGTAGGCTCTTCGATTTTGGGGCTTGGGGCCATGGGGGACGGACCCTTTCATCTTCCCCTCACTCACATCTGCCAGTCAACGACTTCCGACGATTGGTATCTTTCTTGATTTGTCATGCCAGTGGAGTAGAGCGCTCTAAGAAATCTCGAAACCCATACAGCCCCGTCAGGAAGCCGAAATGACAAGAAGCTAAGCCAAAAAAACAAAATCCACGACAATAGCTCCGCAATCTCTGGTGCTCAACTGTCGCTGAGGCCTCACGGAAGGCTCTGTGCAGGTCTCATCCATGTAAAGAACTGGCTCAATGGGTGCAACAGCACGGAAATACTGGCTGCGGTGGCATGCCAAGTACCAGTCTAAGCTGCCCCCCAGGCTGAAGCCGGCTGCAAAGACCTGGTCCAAAGCTGGGTTTGGACAACGACACAAACCAACCTTCTACCTAAGCCATAGAATTCTTTGGGCGTGTTGCTTCATCCGTGAAGCCTTCGTCCGGTCCACACAGGTGTGCTCCTCCACCCACTTCAAAATTGTGTCGACTAGGGTGACCTGCGTCTCTGGCCACCACCAACTACAAGCGTCGGCCTTGGCCGAAACGAAACCACCCTGCATGCAGCACTCTTCGGAATCGCACCACTTGGAGCAGCACTCCCTCACTCCACCCATGGCCGACGAACTTTTCAGTCGTGTCCCCCAGGGCAGAATTCCCAACCAGCCGTGGCGTGACAGCACATCCATGTAGCCAACCTCCTTTTCGTGGAACCATGGAGACTCGAAAGTGCCATGGAAGGACATCACGAGAGGGACCCCAGAGCTGCTCTGGACCTCGGAAACTCAAGAAGACTCTGCCAAGACTCCCGGCAAACCTGTTGCGTTCAACCCTGTAAAGTCTAGAGCTGCTTGCTCCAGGCCACGAGCTCAGGGGGCACGAGGAAGAGAAATTGTCTCTCAATGCTCGGTAGCTGTACCACATGCATACCTGGCCCGTACCCAGCCGAGCAGGCATGATCTCCGGCACGATCAAGACGAGATTCCAAGCTGCTTTTCGTCTGCAGTAGTTGAACTTCAAAGCCTACCTCGCCCTCCACGCTCTGCTTTGGGCAGTCAAATGCCCCTGCGGCCGTCCAAGGCAAAGAAGTGAGCCAGCAGAGCAACGTTAGACCATATCTAAAGGCATGGAAGAAGCCAGTGCTGTGCACTAGCATGGCCTCGAAGGGTGACGGGGCCGGTTCGGTTTGAACTCAAACAGCATCGGGGACGCAAAGCAGTCACGCAAAATCCTTCCACTGCCCGCATGTTGCTATGCTTACTTAGAATTGCAGGAGATCTGCATACAAGAGCCGACAACTACGTCACAATCAGAAGGCCTGGAGGCGGTCACTGACAGCGTCCAAACGACGCGCCACGTCCTCGAGGAAGGAGGCGACGCCGCCGCCACCTGAGGCCAGGCGCAAAGACGTCTCTCTGCTGGATAAGGAGTCTATAACAACCGCTAAACTGAGCAGCAAGTTGTGGACCTCATTCCTCCATCCGACAAAATGCGCTCTCCTTTCTATGCCGTGTCGGGTGCACCGCAAGCAATTCGGCACAGGTGGCAAGGACACTTGAGGGCTCGTTCACCTGACACAAGTGTATGCCGGCCCCATCGAGAAGCGGATTGCCAGTCCGGTCAGACCAACACTCTCAACACAAGTTGTTTCACACTGTTGCACCACTTTCCGCCAAGACTTGTCAACCACCAGATGTACCAGGTTACAAGGACTGCCCTGCAAAGTCCTAGCCGCAGCCAATCATGCAGATGCACGTGCTTTGCACGACATCCATGTCGGACTCCCGAGTTGCACAATGGTTGGTGCACAATCTGTATGCTCTACGTTGTTGACCCTTCTGGTGATGATGTTGGTGACTTCCGTGCCCAACCCAGAACTTTTAGCGTGTCCACGACAGAAGCAAGGCCCAGCCCGCAACAGTGTCAACTGCCAGCAGCCGGTCGTTCAGAAGCTTTCGGACAACTGGCCGGTCCAGGACAGTGTGCAAGGCTGCGGGCAGGTGCCCAGAACCCGCTCTGCCGTCCTGGCGACCACTGCAAGAATTGCGCAGCCGTCCAGAAGCCGTAAGATGACGTGGCTGAGATCGCCTGAGCATTCCAGTGCTTACGGCCTTAGCCCATCTCGAAGCGCAGACGCGGCCACAGCCGACCAAAATGGAGCACCACTTTCCACACGCGCCTCTCGGTTGTCTCTCATACGTCGGCTTGCGGATTCGAAATCTGACGATGGCAGCATGATCAGAAGGCTTGCTATACTATCGAAATGCTGAATACCAGGAAACACGAAGAAGTCAATAAAACTCGACCAGAACTGAAGTGCCGCCGAGGTCGTCATGCTCAATGGAGAGTAGGGTGGGCGACCTCCCTGCATGGCAATACGCTTTGGAACCCAGTCCAGCAGAGGCACAGATGCCGAGAACGGAAAGAGGTACTTCGACAGATGCGATGGCATGAACAAAGGCACCCCCATGGCATAGAACTCATAAAACGTCATTAAAGCAAAGTCATGCGGGAAGAGGACAATGGCGCGAAATGTCACGAATGTTCGGATCGCTCGATCTGTATCTGCCTTGGAGAAGAAGTTAAAAGGATAGTTGGCAGGCTTGAACGCTCGGATAAGACAGTGCAAGACGCAAGCCTCCCGCGGCTCGGGTACAAGGATGTCCCCCAGCCTCTGTGGAGAGTATGTTTCTTTCAGATAGTCGGCCACCGGCTGTAGCACGTGCAGTCGGACGCCGCTCTGCCACGCAAGCTGCTCGGAATGCAGCCGGTTGTTGGAGACGAAAAAGCTCGTGGGCATGGAGGCCATGTCGATGAACTCGTCGATCCAGCTGAAGGGGACGAGCACTCTGTTTACTTTGGGCTACTGTCGACTACTGTCAAAGCAGTGGCTGTGTGAAAACTCCCTCTCTTTGAGCAAACCTTTCACCTTGACCAACTGCCTTCCGGCACCATGTACAGCAGGGGAAGGCCAAAGTAGCCAAGGATTGTCTTGTTGAGGCCAGCGAAGAAATTGCAGTAGTAGATCGGGTTCGTGCACAGCAGGAGGCTTGCCTTTCGTATTTCGGCCTTGTTGAAGAGGCTTCCTTGCACCCACTCATGGAAGCCCCTTCTTGACTGGTCCATATCTTCAAAGACAGGGAAGCTGTACGGGACACTGTCTTGCCTTAGAATGGGCCACGCCCCTCTTGATTGGTTGAGGAACCCTCTTAGAGGATGTAACTTGGGGCCTTTGGCAAAACACTCGCACGTTGCCACTGAGCTGCTGGTTAGGGCAGTTTGGGCTACAAGACCGTGGAAACGGATGAACAAATGCCTCGGCCCTTCCTTGGTATGGCTTGATGGGGTTCTCGTGGACGACGTCATAGTTCGAAAGCACGCGCTTCAGCATAGAGACAGGCTCGTTGGAGAGGGCACGGTGGGTCCCCAACTCCAAGACCCAGAAACCTGAAGAGCCTGAAGAGCTCTGAGCCTCCGGAGACGACATCGAATTGGGGGCCGTCCCAGGGCCCCAGTCTAGGTACTGGTGGAGAAGGGAGACTTGTGGGTATACAAAGTTCTGGACCATGTCCCAAAGTGTCAGAATGGAGAAGCCCCACGATGCCCAGGTCGAAGACTCGAGGAAGTCCAGGCAAAGGTTCCAGTGGAGAAGCCGCATCGCGTGCCTTGCGAAGTCTTGGGACACATCTTCCTCTGTTGTGTACTTGGCCAAATAGGTGAGGGCCGCGACATGTCCGTAGAGGCAGTATTCCGTCCGCTCCTGAAAATGGCAGCTGTGATAGAATGAGGCTGCGCCGGGTGGATAGTCTTCCATGCCAGTGTGCAGCATACCTGCATGGTACCAAGTGTCGGCACAGGGTTGGGCAAATGAAACAAAGTCTCGGTTTCGGAACGGACTTAATCATTATCCTGTGACACCAGCAAAAGAACGATGCCGGAACAGGACCGCGAGACCGTACCATTTCTTGTAGAGCCTATGAGCTTCACGAGCCAGTGAGGGATGGAACGACGGAAATGAATGCATTCCGGGGTCTTCGCTCCGCGCAGACGCATGCTCGGACACTTCTTCGAACATACTTCGAAAATTTTGCCAATCCGCATGCTCTGGCCCCGAGCAGTCCACGAAGTCCGGGATGACGATGTCAATGTTGGGCACCACACCTTGCCCAAGACTCTCGTGAACGCCCAACATGGCATGTGAGGGAGAGCACCGGTTCTCTCTGCTTCGAACGGGCAAAACCTGCAGCAGAGCAGCGTATCTGAACATAGACATCCTTCACACACCCTCCAGCACACGGAAATTACAAGATCCGTTTTCGGGGCATATGCTGTCCGGCATGGTGTCAGCATGCATTGCGACCCGGAGCCTTGGCAATAGGGATAATATGGCGGGCTGCTGACATACACCAGTGACAAAATGATAACTGATAAACATCGCATTGCCTCCCGAGTGTCTCAAGAACCTAGAGGGTACACAGAGTAGGCAAGGAGAGAGAGCGAGAGAGAGAGTTTTAGGGGGAGGGGGAGGGAAAGAAATACGCCACCGATCATACATGTACTTGCGGTCGGCTTGTGGTCGGCCCTCAGCCCAATGGTCAGGAGTCGCTGCGTGAACCATCGTTACCCACATGGCACAATGATTGGCGGAATGGTGTTGCAGAAAAAAGGCTCTACGACTCTACGATGCCTTCTGATTCTGAACATCGTAAGCTTACGACAGCTTCGGATCTCTCGTAGCACCATAGCAGCATAGCACATCCTGCCTCGGTTTCTGGGGAGCTCCGCGGCAACACTGGGAGTTGCTTGAAGCTGCCTGGCAGCCCAAGAACATGCAGGACACGGTAAGATCAACTAGCAGACCTAGCCTTTGGACCGGCCGATGCCCTTCAATTCAACCTATAATATTACTACATAATGAGATGTATAATATATACATATATATACACACATACATACACAATATACATATACATATACATATACATATACATATACATATACATATGCATATACATAATTATGCATATATATATATATATATATATATGTGTGTGTGTGTAGATACATATATGTCATACAATGTATAAGATGTAATGTTGAAATGTCAAGCTTTTCCAGCCCGAAGCTTGGTTTCCGAACACACGCCTCAGCTTCAACTCGAGGTTGTGTAGCTTCTCTTGCTGAGCCTGAAAAAGGAATCAACTTGGCCCGTCGAGTGACAACTTGCGGCTATGGAGTTTTGCCTGCTGTCCCCGTTTGCCCACCCTTCGGCCCATGCTAAGAACTCTGCATAGAGTGTGGCCACGATGCTTCCAGCCCCACGTCCTGCGACAGTCAATCAGCATCACAGACATCTGGTTTTGCCAACGAAGGAAAATAAATCGCAAGCATGGCACCTTCCAGCGAAGCACTACACCTTGTACATGCGCAGCACAGCAGAAGCACTCGCTGTCATCGAGAGAATGGTTGACACAGGTGGCTCGTTAACAAGAATCTTGTCTCATCTGAGACGGCGGCCAGGACGAGCGCCGGCTATCAGCCTCACCAGGTAGAAAAGTATGTCTTTCGAAGAGTACACTCTGTTCCACATGAGTTTTCCCTCCGAGGGTGGAGCATGGCTGTTTCCCCATGCGGGCATGGCTGTTCCCTGCCATGACATGTAAATTTGTTAGAGGCGAATGCTGACCTTACTCGGTTCGCCCCCTGAGTGGCGACTTGTTATGACAACCATATTCAAAAGAGGCACTTGCTACTCCGTCACTCGCTTAAACCTGCAACATGTGTTTAGTTTGAAAAGTCTGCGTCCACTGTGGACACGAAACGGCACCACAACTCAGCAGGAGCCATAACGAGCAAAGCAGGTTGACAGGTAAAACTCGAGCTCATGTGCGGCACGCTTCGGCGCGATGTACAACGTAAGAGGCAATCGCAGCATCTTCCGTCGTGCGAACATCTTCCAGCACTAAGTCGCTGCAATTGGAACCTGGAAACGAAGTAGCGCTCTGCCCCCTAGCCACTTCGAGGCAGGAAGCAGCACTTGCCATCTTCTAGGCTACTTGGGAAGTAGTCTGTCAGGGTCCCTGATGACCGAACTCTCTGTCCAAATCATCCATAACAGTCGTGCCTTAGGCACGACCACATAAAAAATTGAGACGGCAGGTGCTGGAAGGCCACAAAAGCCCCAGCAGTAATGTACAGCGTCAAGCCGCGGCAAACAACGAACACTCCCATGCAAATGCACCCTAGGATCTGCATGTCGGGCCTCGAAACCGCATGATGCCGCGAAGAGGCAGAGTTGTCTCAACTCAGAGGTCCTCTGTATTTTGGAAGAAGAGGCCAGGCTGCTACCGGCCCTCATGCATAAAGCTGCAGGTAGGAAGGTTAGGGATCTGAGCAACTTCAATGCTAAGCAATGCTTCAAAAGGGAGGGATGCAGAAGATGTTGAGAGACAGGAGCCGATATATCCCACTAATGCACACTGGGGCACGAAATAGCTGGTCTCCTCCGGAGAACCAGAGCAGCCATATCATGCGTCAACACCGAATCACAGAGACTTGCTGCTCACAAGGATCCTCAGGCCACAAGAAGCTGGTGCAAATCCAAAATGTTGCAAGAGCAGACCGCAGTCAGACTTTTGAAAAGCGACGCGGAAGCTACAGCAAGCCCTTCTAGTCAGCTATTTCGAAGAGCACATGACGGAGGCAAGATGGATGATGAGGAAATTGCGATCAACCTCCCGGGGTCCAGGCCCTGAGAGGCTCGAGAGGCTCGGCGCATGGGGCGAAAGCATTCCTCTTTGAGGAGCTGCACTGTGCCTGAGGAACACTTGTGTTCGTTTCCAAAGCCCGCCACTGCTTTGCAAGTTCATCATTACTCACGGCATGTGGGTGCACACACTCTCGCACATGTACAGCAAAGCTTGGCATGCCAGCACATGAACCTGTTAGATTGCTTCGCATATGACCATGCCGGCATGGTCTCAGCCCGCTCCCGGCCTCGAAACGGATCCTTCTTGGCATCGCATTTGGCATCGGCAAGCTGTATTGCCAACACCTCGTCATCATAGTCCACGTAAGCGTGGCCTTGCGGCCGAAAGATTCGGGATCACACTGCTTGTGCTGAGACGCGAACGTCCGTGCCCTCCGGCCTAGCGTTCGTTGGGTGATGGGGTGCACCTGAGCTTCGAAAGCACTGGAGCGGACCGTTGAGAATTGAAAGGCCGTCTGGAAAATTCCTTGAAGACGCCACGGGTTCTCCCTAAGCAGGTTGTCCTCAAACACCACTACCGTGTAAGAGTAGAATGAGCTCCCCGCTGCAACTTCGATCGCCCTGGGTTGCGGTGCACGACGCAGGCTCACCAAGGTAAGGATTGCGTCCTGTTCGCACAGGTTTGGATTAGAGTCTAGTCAAGAGCTCGAAGCATTTGAGCGCTGCAGCCCGGCCTCCAAAATGTCTGGCCTCAACAACGGAGCCACATGCTACAGGGGTGGGCTGTCTGACAGCTGAACCCCAGTCTGGAACAACGAGACGCAGACGGAACATTGGCGGGCCTAGGCTAGCTCGTAGCAACAAAAAAACAAGTGTGACTCATCGTAACAGGAGGTTGGAACATGAGATACATCCGGGGAGCAAATGTTCGAGACGAACTCGTCCACCTGCTAAATCCCGGTGCCCAGCACATTCAATCACAGCGATCGTAATGTAACCTATTGAGTTAAAGAAACTGAGTCTTACTTCTGTTAGCAGCTGCGTTTTGCAAAGATAGTCGGGCTACATCAGCGAGCAGACGACGCTTCTGGCATCTGCAGGTAGTGGCGGAGCCCATTACATCAGCCAGCTTTGGCATGTCTGAGCCTCGACTCGGGTACGATGCCGAGACTCAGTGAAATTCTGTACAGCTCCAGGGCTCCATCTATTGCTACATAGCCTCACCTGGTTGGGGCGCCCCAACGATGCCGGCAGCAGCGGCTGCTAAAGCGTCGCTGCGCCTCCACGCGCTGGCCTCGCGCCGGGAGGCTTCGGCAGCGCTGTGAGCTCGCCTCTCCTCCCGACTGTGGCGCCTCCCGGATGTGACTGTGGTGAGCTCTGCTGTGCCAGGAGTGCTGCTGCGAGCTCTGCTTGCATGCGGCCGCTGGGGACCTGAAGGAAAGGGGATTCCTGGGATCCCTTCTCCCTTAACGTCGCTTTTGCCAACGGGTGGTCTGCCAGCACGACTGCCTTGGGCAGCCGAGGGCGCAGGCACCACCGGTGGCATCACCGTCTCCACTGACTCTTCCAGCAGGGCACACAAGTCGTCGCGCAAATCTGCAGGAAGGCCGCTCGCAGTGTCTAAAGCCTTCCGAAATGCAGCAGCTTTGTCCTTGTCAAGCTGTTCTGTAAGCCGGAAGTTTGGAGAAGCTCCTCCGGTTGAGCTGCTTTGTTCACTGGCAGGAAGCGGAGAAGAATGTGGCGGAGCTGCAGCTGGCTGCTCCGGTGACTTGTAGCTAAGGGCATTCAAATCATGGTGCTGAACAACGGGGTTGTCCCTGTTGTGTGAAACTTGGAGGGGTGAAACTAGAGCCTCAGAAACGGATGCATGGGGCAACTCGGGCTGCTTGAGTGCCCCGTGGAGCACAGCCAAGCCGGCATCAATAGCCACAAAGCGGGAGTGCGATGCGATGGAATGCTCCCAAACCTCGGGCAAGTCCTCGGCGAGCACATTCACCGGATTCTCTTTGAACTTGCCGTCCTCGATCTCCTGCGAGGCCTTGCTGGGGTCAGGCTTGCTCTGCAGCTGGTCCAGCAAGCACTGCTGCAACTCCTCAAGCATGTTAACACACCATAATCTCGCCTAAAAACAGAGCGTCAAAACAACCTCTGAAGGAACTCACCAGCACCGCCTTAGCTTGGGAAGCCAAGCTGTTTGCAAAAACACCCGTACCCCAAAACAAAAGGCTGGTCTCTCCTGGAGGTGCCGATGACGGTCGTTGATGGCATCTTCCTTCACCTTCAGAGCCTGCTCCCGCGCCTCATCTCGTTGGTTTCTTAGCTCCAAGACTTGTCGCTGCATCTCGCTTGCCAAAAGCCTCTGCTGCTCCACAAAGCCTTGAAAACCGAGCTCTTCTCGCCCCTCTCGGCCTTCTCGACCATCTCGCCTCTCTCTGTCGCCTTTCCTTCGTGGGGGCGGCGAGCAAGTACCGGCCCAAGTTCCGGCTGTATCTGCTGGGCCTGCGTGGGATGGCACCGGCGACTGCCACTCGCGGAAGTCTCGGCTTGGAGAGGCCTCAGAGTCTCGCGTAGGATACTCGGTGTTTCCTTGCCGCGGCCGCCGGGACCGGCCGTGCTGGCCGTGGCGCGTGTCCCGCGTGTCCCGGAGCCGATCCCGGGTTTTTCGGAGTCTGCCGGAGTGGGACTCGCGCCAAGGCTCGTCACGGAATCGCTCCCGGGTTCTAGTGGAGCGACCCGTTGCGGTCTCCCGCGCTTCTGCGTCCACATCGCGAGGACGAGATGCCTTCTTCGCCTCCTGCTTCTCCGCCTTCCGAAGCTCTTTTTGGTTCTCTTCTTCAATCTCGCGTCGAAGGCGTTGCTCCTCTCGATCCTCCTCCTCCTTCTGACGCTGCCTGGCTTCCTCTTTCCGCTGCTTCGCCTCCTCCACCTGGGCTGCCAAGACCCTTTGCAGCTCCTGAGAAACATGCGAAAATTGCGAAAGCAGCATGAGGAGCAGCAGAAGGAGCATGAGCAGGAGGAGCAGCAAAAGCATTAGCTGTAGCACAGTCGCAACCAAGCCATTTCTTGGGACTCCATGTGACTTGGAATGAACCCCATGCTTGGAAAGGCTAGGGAGACTGCGAAGCAGGACTCGCTGTTCATGGACAGACCCTCGCGCCCTCAAGCCCAAAACTCTAAAACACAAATCAGATCGTTGATCTGGCAAGCTCGGAAGCCACTTGAAAACACGAGCGCGCTGCTTAGGCCTAGGCGATAGTCGGACTCTTTCCCACATGAGCTCCTGCTGCTGTCTGCGACGCTCCAACTCTCGCTGGTCCGGCTCGACGGCGGAGGGCTCCGGCCGGCGCCTCGGCCCCAGCTGGGGCCCGGATCGGCCCATACCCTCCCAGGGCCCAGAAGACCCAGGCTCCTCCCTCGGAGCTGCCGCCGCCTCCGCTCGAGCCTCGGACCTGTCCGTCTCCTTGCGAGCTTTCTGCTCCTTGATCTGCGCGGCCAAGGCCATCTGCATCTCCTGCTGCTGACGTCTCTTCTTCTCCTTCTTCTCTTGCTCGTCTGTCAGCTCACCTGGAAAGGCAAAGCCGAAGCTCTGTGGTGCGGGAGGGTTCCTGGCTGATTTCATCTGCCCGGGCTGGCTCTGGATGCTCTGGATACTCTGGCCCTGGCCCTGGATGTGACCGAGCGGAGCCTGAAAGGCCACCGGCTGGTGAAGGGGAAGTGGCAACTCATTCTGGGAGAGCTGCTGATTCTGCAGTTGCAGCTCCTGCCAAGCCGGCAGAAAGTTCACGGGTGCCTTGCGGGAGGCTGGTGCCCAAGGAACACCGGGGAAGGGCACTGCCGCCCCAGCAAGGTCCGCCAAGCTGTGCTGGGCGCGTGGGGTGGCCTCCGCTGCCCACGGCGGCGGGGCCGCAAAGTTCATGAAGGACCTACGCCTGCTCGTTTCCAGTGTTGCTGGTGGGATTGGCTCTTTCGGTCTTGTCTACACTTGTATTCAACTCACACCTGTAATTAAGGAAGCAGGCTGGTATGGCTGGAGTCGAGCATTATGAGAGGCGGACATGTAGGCTATAAAGATACATGATGATACATGTGGTCCTCTGATCCAGGCACCCATGAAATGACAAACAGGCTAACCCTCCGCACTTGCGGGTCCCCGCAGCGAAGCAGCGGCCACACCACGAGGTCACATGTCGATTGGCCTGGCAACGATGTCGTCTGCGAAGGAGGCTCTTCCGACCTCAGCAAGTGTAGCCACACACGTGGCTCACTGGAATCAAGTCTTGGGGCTGCTGCTCGCTATTCCGGCTATTCCTCCTCTCAGGCGCAGGAGCCTGCACAAAAATTTGCCTTTCTTCTCAAGAGAAACTCCCATTTTATCTCTATTCGCATGGCAGAAGCAAGCAGTCACAGAAGCGCAGGACGCCTTCAAAGCGGGAAGGCTCTGCGACTGACCAAGCTTTTTGCCGACCTGATGCAAGCAGCGGCCCAGTACGGTCGGGCAGATATCGGGACCGGGAAGAACTGTCGATTCACGCAGCTTGACTTGCCAGGGCAATACTACAACAAATGGACTCCATAAACTGCCAAACCTTCAAGGTGATGCATGCTACAAGTAGTATGGCGGAGGACATGGGCAGACCCTCTTAGTGAACGCTACAGCAACAGGCGGTTGCTTAGGTTGAACATAGAGTGTGCGGTGGCTTACTCGTATCTTTTGCGAAATTCTTGAAATGGCTCTGGAATTGGAAAAGCTTCGTGCCACCTCCGAGTGTCTGCAAGCATTCATTACAAAAAACAGCTGTGGATAAATTGACAGAGAAAAGCGGATAGAACGGTAGAAGTGGCCCAGAAGACCTCCACCTTCAATAAACCTTGCATAAAGCATGCCTGCCTGGCCTTTCGGGATTCGTCGATGCTTAACCCTGAGGAGTTGGCCTGGAGCCGCTCGATCTGATTTTTGAGTAGTTCCCGCACCTTCGGTACCTGCAAGGTTCTCTTTGCAATCTACTTGCGTCAGTCTTTTGGACAGGGTATCAGTGGGAGGAGAAGCCGAAGTTGGAGAAACAACATATGTGATCACAACACCTGTTGCAGGTTTGGACGGTGAGCAGCACTAAGCCCTCACGCCTATGTCAGTTCTTCCTGCGCGGAAAGCACTTCAGGCAGCAAGGGGCCTTGGCGACGTCCGCCGCAGTGCATTTGTCATCGTTTTGAGCCTTCGAGGTGCACAATGGGAGCCACACACACACACGACACTGCTATGTCCAACCCAGTGACATGCGAAGCAGTTCTTAAGGTGTTGTGTACACCGCCTCACCTTCCCTCATTCGAGCTATGCCATGCCTGCACATCTGCACGTGCCGCCAGGAGGTGCCTGACAACCAACCACTAAAAACGAACAATGGCTCTCCACTTCGGAAACAGACATCCTGACAGCGTGAGGGCTCTGCAAGCAGTGAGCAGTGATGCAAGAGCAAAAGGCGATGCAAAGGTCCGCGCATGCACGAACCAACGACAATGCTCAAGCTGTTCCATCGGATTGAGGCTGCCGCTCTACAATCATCAGAGTGGTGCGAGACGAACCTCGCGCTGCCAGCATGAGAATCGTGTTGCCTGCGCGACCACACATTGCTTCTGTTTTGACCTTGCGTTCGGTCCAACTATCGCTCCCCGCCTGTTTTGTCAGCCACCTCCAAAGAGGCCTTTCTGTCCAAGAGAAGGGAGGTCACGCGCACATGGCCGGCCTCTACAAAGACCGGCATCGGCCGCACATCTGCACACCCCAGCATGCCCATAGCAAGGCCCATGGCCCATAGCCCGTGACAAACGCGAGGACCTGCACCGCCAGCCCGAGCGGAGTTCGGCCATCGTCGTCCACTTCTGCCAGAGCCTGGCCATGCATGTGCAACAAGTCCTTCTGAAGACTCCCTGGACAGTACACACAACCGACGGAAGCCGTAGAGCAAGTGCAACTCTGCCCCTGGTGGGGAGAGGAATCACACAAATCAAGCTGAGTTCCCCCGGCCTGCGACACACCTGCGATGCAATGACATGATTACATGAAGACGGGGCTGCGAGGTCCAAAAATGTGGGCACGCGGCTGAAATCAACTTTTGCTGGAAGCGTCTTGTTGAAGGCCTCGGCTTGCTCGTACCTGCAAGAGTCACAGGCAGGGAACTGCAATCTCAAATCTGCGTGTTGGCTGAGGCAAGCGCAGTGCCATGTCCAGCTGCTTCTGTACCTTGACCCTTTTGGTCTTTTTGCCATCCTCGCCCTCAACGTCCTCATCTTCAGTGACATCCGTTTTTCGGCTGCGCCAGCTTTGCTGCGAGACAGCTGATACCTCACCCCAGTCAATAGGCAACCCCAGGCACATCTTGATGCGGTCACGTTTCACAGATTGCACTGAACTGAGCCAGGAACCGACTCAGCTGGCTCAGTAGGCTCCAGGTGAGCTTTGCTCCCCTCCTCTGCGGCTCTTCGTGAGATGTATCGGCGACAGTGGACCACAAATGCAGTCAGCTTCTGTCCTTCTGAAGCTTCCCCCTGGCGCTGTTCTTCGGCACCTCGAGGTGCGAGCCCTCCCTGATGCCTTTTGATTCAGGGTCGTCTTTGGCTTCCTTCGGATCCTAGCACGACAGAGATCGGGCCGGCGCTTTGAAAAGCAGCGCTAGCAGTTGGGGATGACAAGGCTGAGTCTTTGCCCGGGTCCTTGCGCTGGTCCTTTCCTTAGGTGGCATGTTTTGGAGGATCTCGCTTTTTGCCTACGGCCTGCAACCAGCATCATCCGACTGGAAGCCTGCATGGCTTCGAGTGGGACTTGGCTTTCTCTCACTTCCATCCTTCTTGGTATGCTCCTGTGCGTGGTCTTGTGGCAGGAGCCGACGAACAAAGTTCAGCTTTCGGATGAAGACACGGTCTGCCCGTCATCAACATGAGCCCCGTCCTTGTCTGCGTCTTTGCTATGGCCCTCGGCTTTCCTCGGCCTGCGGGAGTCATTGCCATGTGGACTTCCAGGTCTCCCGTCTCTTCGCATCAAAAGCAGCTATGTGTCTGTGAGGGCATGTTCGGCGCACTTGCCAGTAGATTGGCTGGGGACTTCCTCGGCTTCTGGAAATTCCACCACCTGCAGAACCGAACAGCTCTGGCGGCTTCCGAGGCTTTGCCCGAGCCTTCTCTAGCTTTGAGCCAGCTTTCTCCGAAACTTCTTGCTCTTTCCTCCTCTTCGATGTAGCCTTGCCCAGGTAGCAAGCCTAAATGGACGTGTGCCACTCGAGAAGCGTGTCAGTGCATGCCACGAGCCTTCTCACTTCGTGCAGCCACAGGACCGCCTGCGGGGCGAACAACTCTGCTCTAGCCTTCGGACTCCAAGCTGCACCTGGGGAACTCAGGGGTAGGCTGGTAAGGGTCATGAGACGACTAACGCAAGAAGCTCCGTGTGCAGCCCGGACGTAGCCTGAGGTTTTCTCCAAGAGCGCATCCAGCAGAGCCTCGAATCGCTCTCAACACCACTTCCGATATCTGAAGCTCCTCACAACTCTGGACAAAGCCGCCGTACCAAAAAAAAAGCTTGTTGGTCCACAGACCCCGCATTGTTCTCCGTTCCCAAGCCAACTTTGTTTGTCTCATTTGTCTCTTGCCTCGCTGCAACTTTACAGCTCCGCAGCTGAGCATGTGCAAACGTTAGAATCCACCAAACCCAATTTCCACTTCTGAGATCTTCTAAGTGTTGTTTTGCATCAGGGCTTTTGCCATCGCCCGAACGCCTTAGCACACGGAGTGCAGCTCTCTACTGCACTTCCATGCCTTGCTCAGTAAACAAGCAGGAACCATTTGAAAACACAAGAACGATCCATAGCTAGTTGCGAATAATGCACTTCACGAAAAACGACCAAATAACCATCAGCAGCTTCCTGACTGGAGACCAAAAGCTGGTAACACAGATGACTTCCCAACATAGCCAAATGGAAGTGCTAAACTGCTGGACCAAATGACCAAAGCTCATGACAATTCCTTCCAATATGCAGAGCCCGCAGCATGCTGGCCATGCAGTGCTGCAAGCGCCGTTAGGCTCCGCCCACCTTCACGGGGAGAGACTCGCGCAGAGTGGGTGCCATGAGCCATGTTGTTGTGGCTTTCGGTGCTTTGCCGCCTTCGCCTCGGACGCTTGCGTCAGCCCGCAACTTCAGCAGACAGAGCATGGCCGCAACCTTACCGCCTATTGCGGTGGCCTCAGATGCAAACGCCGTGAGTCCCAGTCCATCCGAGGTCTATCCGATTCACTCAAGGGTACCTCTCAAGCCCTCTCAAGCTGCCGAGGACGGGGCTTGCAGCGGTGTCCGCCCTTCAAAGCCCTCTTACGAACAAGTTGGGCATCGGGCTTCAGCAGCTCAGCTCCAGAAATGTGTGGAAAGCGCTGAAGCGGGCCTTGACGTCCAAGCTGGCCGATGCGCAACTCAGCAGCACCAAGCTGAAGCAGTGATTGCCTGCACAAATAGACGAGCTTGAAGAAAAGACAGGAAAGCAGTGCCTAAAGGGCCTAAAGCACAACAGCGCAAAGTAGGTCTCTATAGGTCTTTGGGGACTGTCTCTTCACTGCCCGGCTTCTTCCCAAAATCGTGTTCATTTAGCAAGCTTAGCGGTTTCACTGGCATTGACATTCTTGGTGTCGCACTTTTCGCCGCCAAGTGAACTATGGTATCACCTGAAAGAGCACGAATTTGGTCTGTACTGACTGCTTTCTAGCCCAGCTGGCAATTGAGGCACCCGCCCGAAAAAGCCTTGGCGTGCACGTCAGCATTGTGGTAATGGAGCACTGAGGCCACCTGCCAACGACTAACCCAGAATGCTCTGCCATCGCTGCAAAGATTCGACCGTGAGCCTCTGCCCAATTTCTGTGAGCCTTGGCTCCGAGTTTTTCAGTGAATGGACCCTCACATCCCACAAAGTCTGAGACCCCTGCCGCCCAATGGATAGGAGTCCAGCCGCACTGCTCGCGGGCGTGTAAAGAGGCGCGAGCCTTCACGCCGACATCGTGAGATCTCTCTGTGCAAAGCCCATGTATTCCCACGCAGTGCCTGTATAAGCTGCCGAACCGCTTGAACACTGCCATGGCTTGCAGCCCAGCCAAGCGGCGTCTTTTGCGACTGCAGAAACGTGAGAGGCTGGACTGCATCACTCTTGGCAGGTCCACGACAACGTCGACCTCGTCTGGTATCTCCAGCCACGCCCCGTGCTCGATGGCCTGAAAGGTCCACAGAGGCTTCATGCCTGGCTCTCCTGCTCCTTCGGAACGCTCTTCTCTGCTGGGGCCTGGAAGACGCCCTTCCACCATCCCTCCTTGGCAGCAGATACCAGAAGCTTGTTCGCCTTCACCGCATCGCGAAGGACCTGGCGGGGAGCAGCCTTGCATTTGAACTTTTCCCCAGCCACCTTGTACCCCTTGATAGCACAGCGGTCATGCACTGATGCCTCCTGGATCGATGTCTGATACCTCAAAGCTTCACGAGGTGATGGACGTCACTTCCTCATCCTTCGTGCCACGAACAGGTCATATTGAGGAGGCAACTCTGCATTTCGAAGCCAGGGAGAACTTGCCCGGGAGGCCTGGACCAGCAGTTCTAAAAGAACTCAAACAAGCGAAGGCCCGCAATCAGCCTCCAAGCTCGGATCCGCTCCGTGGCGCGTCAGTAGGCGGACCTAGACAGTTGGCATCTTCGCAGCTGTGCGGCAACTGTTCTGGCAGTTTGGAAGGCCAAGCTGCCGGCCATGGACAAGTTTCGCTGGGACGCAGCATGAAGCAAGGGACTCGCGCCGTCAGCATCCAGTGTGTCCACAAAGGCACCGGCCTCCAAGCCCGTTCGGTTCGCTAAAGTTTCTCCAGTGATGGAATGATTCCCTGTCTCATGACAAATCCACAAGCCTCAAGTGCCATAGACGCTTCGTTGAGGTCCCCGGATTTCGCGGAGTGGAGCAACCGTCGATTCAGCGCCTGTGCTGGCACCGCTGAAGGCTTCGGCGGCTTCAGACCCGGGATGCAATGCAAGGAATGCGAGAAGGCAAGAAGATGCAACGAGAGGGGCTCCCCCCTCTGCTCCCCGTTCCCCGGGCCTCGAAGCGCTCGAGCATCTTCCTGGCCGCCTTGTGCTGCCGCGCGTGGTGCATCACGCTGTGACCTCAGCCCGGCCGGGTGTGTTTTCTCATGCGCGCAGAGGCAGAGGCTGGTTTTCATCATGCCTCATTTTTTTGTGCAGGAGCCGCGACTTGGCATCCAGCCTCCAAAATCCGTTATGCTGAGGTCTGGCCTGCAGGAGCATCCAAAACGAGCATGCAATGATAGGTGTTGGGTGTCTGGGGCCTAGGCCCGTCACCCAGTAACAACCTCATGACGTCCACATGACCGTGACCTGGCAGCGATTGCACCGACGACGACATGATGCTATCTGCTTACGATTGCTACAAGGAGGCCCGGACGGGTAGCCCACATCAATGCGGTCATGCCCTGGGAGTCTTTCAACTTCGCCTGCCAGCAGATCTGGGTTTGCGCTGTTTTGACCTGTCGCTCTCCTATTTGCTGACAGCGATCAGCCATCGGATCATGTAAAGCCGGGGAAAGGCCTCTGCATGTGCCGCCAGCAGGGCAGCGACCACGTCAGCACGCCCAGACATGGATGCCCTTGCATCGTCAGTGCATCGACTGTTGCTATCGCAGAGCCTCTGCACCTGGAAAGCTGGGCCGGTGACCACATGAGCGGCGTCCAACCTTCACTGTTCTTGGAGTCCTGGGTTCTCAAGATCTATTGAATCTATTGTCCCACTTTGCCGCCAGACCTTTCTTCCGTCTACCTTCTGCCGGACTGCAATAAATTGAGTAGGTCACGTCCGACAGGCTTTATTCGACAAGTCTAAGCATCTCCTAGAGTCTGCCTCATCGAGAAGTGCTGGCAGGACACCAGAGCAACTTTGTGCTGCACAAGCACCTGCACCGCAGCAACGTGACCTGCAGAGACGCTGCAAAGAGCGCTTGGGATGATTCATGCACAGTCACATAAGGTAGCGCATGACTGTGCATGGCCTGCTCGAGATGCCAAGTGGAGGGGTGTATTTCCAAGGTTGCATTTCACTTTCGAGTCGGCCTGGCACGAGGTACCAGGATACTGTGATTCATCTACAGGAGCTGCCAAACCAGCTCGCCACCTGAGCCTCCTCGGTAAGTTCCAGGATGGGAAAAGCAACACGTTGTGACTACGAGTAGGCACATGCTTCGAATGGCAGACACTCCGATCCGTGCTTCCGGCCAACAGTAGATTCACAACGCCCTCGTGGCCAACACTGCTTGCCAGCGCAAGCGAGGTGTACCCGAACACATCCTGACAGATCCAAGACCACCAAATCGAGACATGAACAATAGTCGCCCACCTCTCGCTCATTGAGGTGCTTCCTGTTAAATGACCTGGTACAGATGTTCTTTCTCAAGGGCACTCCCCTTACATCAGCACTTTCAGGTTTCTCGGCGCAGGACTGCAAGACATTCCTCAGAAACTGGAGGTCCACCCAAGCCTGCTACTCGAGCACAGCAACATGTGAATACGCAGTGCACACTCGCTGGCAGAGAGGTGGCCTTCTTCCTGTTCTGGGAAGCCAAGACCTGATAGGATGGGCACAGCGAGGCCTTTTCAACAAAAGGACAGAGTCATGAAAAATCCGAGATACACTACAGTCAATACCGTATGTATTTCTGACATGTAACACGGGCAAGACTTGTAAATCCAGGCTTGATTGTTTTTCTGTTTTTTTGCAGCAGGCCTCGTTGTCCAGCAGCCCGGTTACAGCATGAACCCCCCTTTCCCCCGCTTCTTCATTTGTTGGGCTTGAATACGAAACCGAGTACAATTGCGCAGTACATGCACAGTTTCCAGTACCAATTCAGACTTCGAGATCGTACCTGGAATCGCGCCTGGAATCGCACTTTGTGGTATAAAGGCACGATTCCAAGTTCGATTGTGGGTATGGTTGTATCGGGAATCGTGCTGGCAATCACGCTTTGTGGTGCAAAAGTGCGATTCCAAGTGCAATCGCACCCGGAATCGCACTTTGTGGCGTGAAAGTACGATTTCAACTGCGATTCCGGGTACGATCGCGCCTGGTAACGAAACCGGAATCGCACTCTATACCGTAGATGTACAGATGAAGTACCCAATGAACAACACGCTGGCGCGGCCCATGCACTCAGAGTACTATTCTTGAGGCTCCAGGTTTGCCAGATGCGAACTGCTCAGGCTCTGTCCTGGAGGTACTTGATCAAGGAGAAGCCTATCAGTCCGCAGGAATATACACGCTGAAGTGCTGCATCTCTTCAAGACTCCGGGAGCCTTTGAGGTCCTCGTCCTGCACCCGGACCGAGCTTCGGCTGCTCCTGCAAGGCCGCACACTCCATGAGACTCTACGAGTAGGATGGTCTCGATGCCAGAGGCCAAGAGGTGCTGACGCTTTGGAGGGCGAAGTGCCCGTCTTGTCAGTGGCTGTCGGCAGTGTCTTCTTGTCGACCTCAAGCAGGGCCGGGCCGGCTTTACTCAGGGGGGAGGCCAGGCTTGAAGAAGCTGACGCTGCTGATGCGCCAGCTGAGGCACTTGCTGTCGGGAGCCTGCCTGAGAATGAGAATTACGCACTCTTCTGGCGCTGGCCTGTCCCGTGGTTAACGGCGGAAAACCTTGCCTTTGGTGCGCTGGCGGGCGATTGGGGGAAGGCGATCGGCTGTGGCCTCCTGACGTGGCAGCTCCGGTTTGAAGAATTCCCAGCTCGGCTAGAAAAAAAGGTTTCACTCCGGCCTGCACTGTCGGCAGGCCCGACGAGGTCCGATTCATGGTGGCCGCGTCATCTGCCCAACTGTCACTCTGAGCCAGGCCTCGTGTCGTTCTAAGATTTGATCATACAAGACGGCAGGAATATCCCGTTCATGCTTCGAGCCGGCTTTCCGCCAAAGGTCGCTGTGGCCGTGCGACTTTTTCGCCGAAGCCGAGCTGCTGGTGGCCAGGGCCCCGTGCTTACGGAGTCCTCTTCCTTTACGGCTCTGGCACCTGCGATCCTTGCCGAAATGAAACGGAAACGTGGCAGGCGCAGTGGTGGCTCTCGAAATACACCTTGCGGCTATGTCAGCATAAAGACGGCCGCAGCACTTGGCGCGGGAAAATCCTTCTTGAAACAGGGGCAAGGCGCCCGGAGCCCGGTTGCAGGAGACACGCTCTATACCGCAAACATCCTCACAAGGACGACTCAGGCTGCGAAGACCGAACTGCCAGCAAGTGTGTGGTACTACGGTACTGCATGCAGAGGCTTGGGCATTGTGCAAGGTGCCTTGAGGCAGCTTTACGACAAAGCTCTTCGAAGAGCTCGGGAGATGCCGGTGGACCATTGCTGGCCTGGCAGCGCGCGAGTGATGCCCTGCTCGCACGCACGGGTGCCACACCCTAAACCCTACAAGTAGCACAACCTCCAGCGCATCCACGGCAGCAAGATAGGCTTTGGCTCCAGGATCTCTGTCACGGCCACCTCGCGGTACCAGTAGCACGGAAAGATGTCAGGTGGCCCTTAAAACCCTGAAAGTTTCAGGTTGCGGCAGAGCTCATTGAGCACCCACAATGCCAAGTCCCAACTGCGACGGGTGGCGCATGCTCGGATTGCCTCGGAGTCTCCGCCATCGAAGCCAAGCTGATTCCTCAATAGCTGAGCTGATGGCGATGCTCGAGGAGATCGAGTCCAAGGCAATGCTGTCGCCAAGCCTCCGTGGCAGCGGCACCCTGAAAGCCCCTGGCCGCCCTGGCCCCTGCCATGGGATGGGGCCGAGTGGCATCCTCGAAAGGAGATCTAGAGCGAGTTCCCACTGGAACCCCTTCTCGCAAAGGAAGAGCTTCGTGCCTTGCACCAAAGACTCTTGATGAACTGTGTTCTGAAAGGACGTCGGTCGCACTCAGTGCAAAGCTGTACAGCTGCACATCTGGCCGATGTCTGCAAGCACAGACGTCCGCCAGGAAAAGGCCCAATTGCCTCATGTGGGCATCCCTCAGGCCCCCAGCTCCCTGAGATGTCAAGGTTTGGACATTCGGACATCCTAGGGCAGGTCCTAGGGCGGGAGCCACTGCTCGCCGTGAGCACACGCACTGGCTGCGGCGGTAGCGGTATGGAGGTCTGCTCGGAGGCCATGTTGCCGAAGGTCCTTGCCATGGCCATGGACATCAAGGAGTCAAGGAGCTTAATAGCGACTATCCTCCAGGAGTTGCAGGACCACCTCCCAGCGCTGTGATCCAGTGCAGGTGTCCATCGCCGTGTTGAAACTTATGAGATCCTGGGCAAAGACGAGATCAAAGCGTCAGTCGCTCCGCAAAGTCTTGTGCTCGAGGCACCGGAAGGAGGCGCTCCCGCTGGATCTCCTCGCTCAGAGAAACACGAGAAAGAAGAGAAAGGAAGAGAAGACGGATGACTGCACATGCACTACCTGGCCTCGAGCAAGGCAAGGGCTCGCTCCCAGTCGCCTCTTTCCCTGCCTCAGAGCTCACATCTACACTTTGTCACCTTTCTCAGCCTCTGCCCAGCTCACAGCTCAAAAATAAATGTGCTTTCATGCGTCAAGGACTCATACCCCGGGTCTCAACTGGTCTCGCAAGCCATCACCAGCACGACACGGCTAGATGCGGCGTGCTTGCGACATGTCTTCGACACACGCAAGCCAAAACTTCGACGATCAAAAGAATAGCGGATTGTAGTGAAACTCGAGAAACAGCGACATCATGGCGGCTGCAGTACGTCCGAGATCTGCAGGTGCTCATCTATACATAACTGCCTCCCAACATCCCACGGAGCTTCCGAGTGAACTTACCATGATGCAGCTTCCAAGAAGTGGATGTTCAAACACGTTAAAGTTCGCGGGCAACGCGTGCACTCCCAATCAAGAGCTCTGCAAGCTTGGGAGATGTTTCATCACCCAGGAATATGAACTAAACTCCGGGATCCTCCGGAATTATGTTTCTGCGATTCTCGGGGCAGCAGACCACAAGGAACAAGCGCCCCCTCTGCAAGAAGGACAACAGCAGACGTAGCAGTAGCCGAGTAGCCAATAGTAGAGCTGGAGTCGAAGTTATGGCAACCTTTCGAGAAAGTCACTTCTTATCTCCGGCGATCCCAACTGGACCGTACGGGTGCCAGCTAGCAGGGATTTCATTCAAGTTTGTAAAATACTCTCCCGTCGAGTCTAGCTAGGCCCCCTCACATCGTCGAACTCCATCTTTGCAGCGGGTGCGACTTTTGGATGCACCTTCTTGGATCCCTGTGGCGTTTTCGAGAAGAAGCCCGGGCCTTAGCTGCAGCTCGGTGACCCCTCGGTTCGGGCAAAGGCCCATGCCAATTCCAAGCCAAGCTTCAGCACTGCTTCGGCAGATCCGCTGCGAAGGGACCCGCAGACACACTGCGCTGTGGATCGTCCCGGGGGAAGAGGTCGGTCCACTCCGATTGGTCCTGCTTTAGCTTCAAAGTTTCAAGATACTGCCTGGCATGCTTGGCGGCGGCTCGTTGAGTCAGCCAGCTCTGCGCCATGATCTCGCAGAACAGATCAGCATCCAGAATGGCCAGTCGGCTGACATCCTCTGCCATCAAGTCGCCCAAGTAGACCCACGGAGTCCACAAGCAAATCTCTGCTATCCACACACTGCTGTCCACGGCCTCTTCCGCAGCGTTTTCTGTGAAATATATCAAGTCGCCGCTCAGCTTGAGGTAGGAGTGTGAGGCCCTGGTGCCACTGAAGAAAATGATATCTTTGCTCGCCACCGATGCATTGCTCAGGGCTGTCATGGCCAAGCGGTGCAGCACATGTAACGTCTGCAAGTCTTCACCCTCGATCATGTCGTCAACAAATGCCAACTTCCTGAGGGACTTCCGGTGCCTCGCAAACTGGAGCTCACCTCGTAGCTGATGGGACAGCAGCTCAAGCAGGGGCACGTCCATGTCGGCAGACCTGAAGATCAAACTGCACTGATGCTCACGGCATGTTGAACATAGTAACAGCAGCACAGCAGAGCGAGTTGGACTGGAAGGCCCCGCACCTTGCTTCCTGCCTGAGCGTATACTGGTGTTGCAGAAATTGCGTCACTTTCTGGCCCAGCTCGGGTTGGATGTCGTTGTGCGACAGATAGCACCGAAGAAGCCGGAATTCGGTGTTCTCATCCTCCTTGATTTTGCTGAGCCCTGCCATCAAGTTACTCACGGTTGAGATCAGGGTGGAAGATGTAATCAAAGAGCGGAAAGTGATGAGGATGCAGAATGCAAACTCCAAACTGTTTGTTGGCTTTGCAGAACTGCTACCGACACCGAGTTGGGCAAATGCCCAATTGAGACAAACCAGATACTGGTGTCCCATCCATTCCTCCTCGATGTTGCTGTCCAGGACCCAGTTGTCAGTGCTGAGGCGGCTGACACCAAACCAGGCACACGCAATTAAGTGGTTCAGTATCATGAGATGAGCGATGCTGCTTGCCAGGCCGTAATACAAGCTCGCAGCCTCGGCACCGCAAAGGCTTGACGTCGTTCTTTCACTCTTTAGCCTGTCTGGCCCTCCTTTTTTGACGCTCACACTCGGCAATACCAGGCACGGTCTTCAGGCGATACTGGACTACAAAAGCAGGACGTGTACCTACTCTTTAAAGTGCCAAGTCTCTTGCTTGCTGCAAGACTAGAGCAGAGGTCTAGCATCCAGCTCGGCTGGCGTGACACGGGAAGCTGACCCGACACCTCTCACTCTCCGACACCACTGAGTGAAACCGAACCGAACCTGATTGAGGTCTTTGGTTTTCTTTTTTACTTCACTGGCGTCCGATCAAAGGCCCCGTCCCTGCGGAGGGGCAAGCAAAACACATGGAGAACAACAATGTTTTGGCACTCACCATCGAATACCAGATCAACGTTTCTAGGAAAGTAGACGCTCAACGAAGAACAACACTGTTTTGGCACTCACCATCGAATACCAGATCAACGTTTCTAGGAAAGTAGACGCTCAACGTGCCAAAAAACCTACTAGTTACTACTCCTACTGTCGAATCTGCAACATCAGAAAGCCTTCCGGCGGGTCTATTGCGTGCTTCGTTGCAGAGAGTTTAGATATTCAAGGGCGTATGTACCGTGAACGTCCTGTATAAGAACCCATTGGTTGAGAACCTTAGCCCCAACCCCCGGCAGGACTCACAGAATTCTGATAGCTTCAAAAACCTGATCAGGTTCTCATTTTATGTTGGGTGGAAGTAGTTTCGTTGTGGCTTGCTTGGCTTGTTCTCATATATGAAAACACAGGAAGTTCAGAATTTTATGCAGACAAATGGCAGGGGTGGGTTGGGGGCTGGGCAAAGGCAAACACGAAGTAAAATTCGCTTTTTGTCCCCGGGCCGCGGCGGGCAGGGGTGGGGGTGGGGTTGGGGGCAAGGGTGGGCAAAGGCAAAAACGAATCAGTGTCAGACACCATTTCGTTTTTACGATGGGGCAGCAGCAGGCAAGGGTGGGCTTGGGGGGCAAAGGTGGGCCAAGGCAAAAACGAATTGGTGTCAGACACCACTCTCAAAACGGAAAATGCTGGGTTGTGTGGGCTATGTTCCGTGAATTCTCACGTAGGGGCCCAAGGGCAGCTTATGGGCAAGTCCATTATAGCCGAGTGGAAAAGAAAAGGTTCTGGCCTCACAAGCCTTCATACAGGAAGGTTGCGGGCTCAATCGCCGGCAGTGTTATTTGGGCCCTTGCCCCGGAATGGAGATTTTCGGTGGCCCAAGCAGGGGCACGGGGCAGGGGTGGGGACGGGAGATTAACCGCTTTACAACCAGAATCCCCACTTTACAACCACAGACACTGTTTTCCGTGTGAGAATCCCCACTTTACAACTGCCGATCGTGAGAACGCCCACTTTGCAACCCGTCTACCCATGATTAAGACGTATTGGGATTTCATGAGTTTTTTACAACAAACCTACCTCGATTCCTGATAATTTGTTGGTTCTTTGACCCCCTAAAGTGTTTTACGTGGCCTTCATCCGACCGTGGCCCCAAACTACTAAGATCTCGAACATCCCTAAAATTGTTTCGTCGCATGATATCTTTGATCTTTGTCGTCTGTGGGTGCTTCAGCAGTAGTTGGGGGCTGCTCCGGATTATATGCACCCGAACCCTTGTTTAGAATATGCACCCGAACCCTACGCCTTAAACCCTAAGCCCTAAACCCTCGTAAAGCCACTAGGTTTAGAATATGCACCCGAACCTTACGCGTTAAACCCTAAGCCCCAAACCCTTGTAAAGCCACTAGGTTTAGAATATGCACCCGAACCCTACGCCTTAAACCCTAAGCCCTAAACCCTCGTAAAGCCACTAGGTCTAGAACCCTAACCACGCTATCCTTGCACACTATACCCGGCCCGCAAATGCTGCAGAACCCGTATGGGAACCCCGTACTGAACTTTCTACTGCAATAACACTATATCCTGTCCTATATCCTATATTATCTGTATGATTTCCACAATACAAACACACAAAAAATACATCAATTTTGGAAGTACTTGTATGGCGTAAAACCGTAATTACAACATCAAATGTAGTAAAAAACAAGATGTTCGGGTTCATGTATTGGCTTTAAGATAAATATACATATATATATATATATATATATAAACTAAAAAAACCTACCTGCGCTCTGGTGAGAAAAGAGTCCGTCTGTGAAGCGTGGTGCTGTGGAGTTCGAGGGTAGGAATTTGGTTACATGTTACTGCGCTTTGCACTCTGGCCTTGCCTGTGGTGGGTCGGTGGGTTGGGGTTCTAAAAGGTCATGTTTTCTGTATGCTTTCCTCAACACAAGTACACAAAAAAGGAAAATCATTTTTTGAAAGTACTTGTATGGCGTAAAACCGTAAATACAACATCAAATGTAGTAAAAAGTAAAATGTTCGGGTTCATGTATTGGCTTTAATATAAATATACATATATATATATATATAAACTAAAAAATGCATACCCGCGCTCCGGCGAGAAAAGAATCCTTTTCTAAAACTCATGTTTTCTTTCTGCTTTCCCCAATACAAACGCACTCGGTCCGAGTTTGCCTGCAGGGGGTGAGTTGGATACAGCTTGACGGCCGCGAGTGCGTAAAGTGCAAACCACTATGCAACAACACGCTCGCTGAGGTGAGCATCTAAACAGTATCATCGATACCAAACCCTCACGCATCTATATATATATATATATATGTACACACACATATCTATCGTGGTTTCGGGTTAAGAACGCCCACATTGCAACCAACATCATTCTCCAACCTGCATGGTTGCCGTAAAGGATGATGCTAGAGATTCTAGGCTTTGACGTTATCAGTCAATAGGGTTGTTAAGAAGCTTTCCCAACCGGTTGCGAAGTGGGAATTCCGGACAGGCTCATGGGTTGTAAAGTGGGGGTTCTGGTTGTAAAGTGGGGATTCTGGTTGTAAAGCGGGGTACACGCGTGGGGACGGGGGCAGGGGACCTATTTCG